TCAACGCCGCAATACCGACTGTTTACAATATTTGAAATCTGATATTGTAATTTATCAACAACAAAACTCTTTCGATCGATCGATCGTATAGTATAAGATAGAAAGAGAGCTTTTGCAACTGACAATATCAGATTTAAAATATAGTAAACCGTCGCTATCGCGGCATTGATTTGCTGGCTGTTGTTGCTGTATACGATCGAAAGAGTTTTGTTGTTGATAAATTACAATATCAGATTTCAAATATTGTAAACAGTCGGTATTGCGGCGTTGATTGGCTGGCTGTTGCCGGAAATAGGTGTTTTTTATTCGATCCCCCCCCTGAAAATCCAAACGGTAAAGGAGGCTAGGTGGCCAAGCAGGCGCCGTAGTAATTATCGGGCTTTCTAAGTTCCATAGAATTTTAGTCTCGAAACATTTCGCTAAAAATCCATTGCAAAAATTATAGAACGTGTTAATATTGCATTGTATGTTCGAAGATGGGTGTTTATTCTATACTCTGGCGAAGTTTTACCGCGAACAAAGCAATTTGAAGGGGATATTTTTCGATTTGAATTGTTCGTGTCGGCTGTTTGAGAACTGGAATCGTTAGCCTTTGCTTTCAATACTATCACCTATGAAGACAGTCGCAGGCATCGAATGTAAAGTCGCTCAGAAATAAAAGACGATCACATACAATCAAAGTAGGCAAGTAAATATGATTTTAAAATACAAAATTCATTACAAATTTTATTGTGTAGTATATTCTATATAAATGATATATTTACTATGCACTAATACACGTCTGGGCCGCCTGTGTCCCAACTGATGTTTATAACATATTTAATATTTTAAAACCATTTACAGTAAATTAAAATAATTTTCCGCCATTTCATATACTTCTAGTACCCAGTCATTGACTGACAGTCAATATGGCGGCAGATTTTAAGTGTTTTGCTGACAGCATCGTTAATAATATGCAATAATGAATGCGTTCTTGTTGTCAAAACATCTCCAGATATAAATTGTTCAATACCAGAGTACTTCTTCTTTTTTCTACAAAAATCCTTGCACAAAAGCTCGCTTTAAAGGGGCAAAATGCCTCCAAAGCGCCGACTAAGAGGGGGTTCAAATTCGAGCAATTTATTTCATTATAACAACCAAGTTGAATTGACGTTTAAAGGTCAACCGAAGGAAGAGATGTTGGAAAAAGTTACAGAAGTTGGAGATTCGGGATCCGATGATGATAATGAGAATTTGCCTGTTCTTAGAAAGAAAGGGAAAAAGAATGTGGACACGTCAAGTAGCTCTGATTCCAGTAGTGCAAGTGATAGTGACTCAGAACAAGTCACAAATAATGAGTAAGTCATGTCTGTTGAATATGAGGGGATTCAGAGGACCAAAATGCGGTATCGGGCCGATTTTTGCCTTATTGGTGGAAAATCAGAATTGGTGTAAAACCGATATTTGTTGAGAAAATATGCACGCCAGGGTGCATTCTAAGTGCAATACGCTGAAGATCTTCGGTGTGAGTTTGGCACATTACAATACTATCTATAGGTAATATCGGCGCATCTTCGGCGTAGAGTTTGCATAGAATGCATCCTGGTATGCACTTTACTTAAAAAATTACATGCTTTGCGCATTGATTGCTGCTGCTTGCTTTGGCCGGGGTGTGGTGGCAACGACCGGAAAGGCCAAGGAAAAAGTTTAACAAAATTTGTTTTCTAGGCCTGCATGGCGAGATCTGAGACCATAATATTGGTAATTTTACAAATTTAGTAGTAAGAATAATCAAATATGAAACTATCAAATCAAAATATATGTAATTTGCGGGGGTGCCAAATGCCTTTGGGGGGGGGGGTGCAAATAATTTTAGGTGCCCCCCCCCCCCCGGAAAATCTGTGCCTGGATACTGCAACAAAATTATTGCGTGAAGAGAGCCATTTACGAACGGTTTTAATGAACTCTGGTTTGCGGTAACATGTTATGTTGGAAATTATTGTTGAAAAATTGAAATGAATGACATCACCTTTGTTTGGAAACCTGACATTATGAAGTCATAAAATCGGTTTCGGGTAGTGCTAAAATATGATGCATGTTTGCAGGCAAAGTTAGAAGTTATTAATTTTTCTTGCAGATGCTAAAAAAATATTACAGTCGATTTCAACTTACTTTTCACTAAAATGTTGCGAACTTCGTTCCGAACTTCGCAAATTCGTTGCCAAGTTCAAAAGTTCATAATGAAATTCACAAACAGGTTTGTAAACTGAGCATTTGATTGGCTGGTTTGATTTAATAGCCAATTAGAGGCTTTGTTTACAAACCTGTTTGTGAATTTCATTATGAACTTTTGAACTTGGCAACGAATTTGCGAAGTTTGGAACGAAGTTCGCAACATTTTAGTGAAACGTAAGTTGAAATCGACTGTAATGAGCCCTGGAGTAAGTTCCCATTGAGCTCTAGCACTCTCCCCTTGACAAATAAAATCATCTGGCATTCAGACAGAGTAAAATAATAAAGTAGAGCGCATTAGAGTACAATGCAACTTAATACTTATAAATGGGTTAGTATTAATTTATTTCAAATAAATACAATAGCTTTATGATGGTATATAATTCCACAGGGAAGACAATGTATATGAAATTGCTGATGATGATAATGATGTTGGTCCCAGACCTCTTACCCCTCCACCACATATACCTCATATTGGTACGTCTGAATTCAACCGACAAGCTGGCCGACTTTCAAGGTGAGGATCCTTCTAACAAAATCTACCCGTAAATACTCGTTGGATTAAATGACATAGTACGATTGAAACAAGGATTTTGAACTAATGTAAATAAGACTATAAAAATCTCAGAAATTGCCATTTTTCCTAGGGGTGTTGCCCCCTAAGGCGTAAAAAAATACCTGTGGTTCCGGTTTCATATCGCAAAAAAATAGGGTCGGTAGGTCGGAAATAAATTTTTTTTAAAATATTTTTTTCATGTCATTTGGCAGCAGCCCGCAACCACCCGGAAAAGATAGGGTTGCACGGTCAATTGCGTTGAAAAAATAATAGGGTTGGCAGAAAAAAATAGGGTCGGTCGGGAACCGGAACCACAGGGGTTTTTTTACACCTAATTCTCCCCCCACCCACCTTGAGAAAAATCTGAAAATCTGTTTATGGTTAAAGCACAATACTCTCTCCTTGATGAATAAAATCGTCTGGCATTAGACAGAGTAAAACTATCAATCTAAGGTTTTTGTGAAATATTGGGGGCAGTTACCTCTGCCCCTACCCCCTAACGTCCCCACTTGTCCCTCCATGGTTCCCTAACTTCTGCAACAACGAAGTATTTCAGCAAGAATATTTCACTCCAAATTAGAACTATGGGAGAAAAAATGAGATACCTCCAGTACCTACAAAAGGAGGACACACCATCCCCAGTGGCCAGCTGGTCTGATGTTGTTATGGTCAATGACAATTATGGCACACCAAACTCCATCAATAGAAAAATGACGGTTCGAATACGAACAAGAGGCGGTGTGGAACGATTTCAATTAAAAAAGGTATGGAAATTTTATGAATGTGGTCCTGTTAGTGTTAGGCTCTTTCAACCATGACCCTTATTGGAGGGGGACCTCTAGCTGTCTAGCAAGTACTGAGAATAGGTCACACATTCCAAAATTGTAGCGCAAGTGTTCAATGTGGAATTTTTTCTTGTTCCTGGATACCAAAGTGAAGCAAAAGAAAGACGATGCCGCTGTTCACACGAAGCCGCCAAGTGCTCCGTTTTCGTCTAACTTCGTTTAGAAACCGTACTCAAATTGTTGCGGGCAAAAGTGACGTTTTCAATTCAAACAATTTCACTTCGCCTTGTGTGAACGCAACGGCTAATTGGGACTTTTCTGCGCCGTTTTCAGACCTCTCTTCGAACTGATAGAGCTATTCAATATCAAGTTAGTTTAGTTAACCTTGAGCAAAGTTGATGTGCAATTAATATGTTTTTAATACTTTCTGTTTGTGGAAACACCACGTAAATTTATTACTGAAAAAAGTAATAAATAACTAAATTGCAGTAATAAATTTACGTTGTGTTTCTGTAAACAAAAAGTATTACATTTAAATTTTTATTTTCAAACATTAGAATGAAAAGTTTGAAGAGATTTTCAATGAGCTGGCCAAGAAACATAACGTAAATATTGATGCTCTGTCGCTCTCATTTACTGATACACAAGGAAACTTCCAGACGTTGAAATCAGTAGATACTCCAAGCTCAGTTAATTTGAATGTTGCTGATATTATTGGTAGGTTGTCTTAACCAAGGCCTGACCAAAACTATCCTACCTGCAGTTCTGGTTTCCAGACCCACCCCAGTTTTTTTGCCGACCTTGCAGTCGCGCTACCGTGCTTTTATTTTGGGCGGGGGGGGGAGTCAACTTAATAATTTGCGAGCAGGGCATTGGAAAGTGACTTGAAATCGACAAAAAAATGTATTTTATAATTGCTTGTTTATTTTTATTCCCAGATTGTGTGATTGTGCATTCTGCACCTCTAAATGTGTCGTTTGAAAATGGTGACAATGTTGTAAGTATAAAGATCCAGGGCTCAGAGAGTGACACAGTAAAACAATTCAAAACATTGAAGGTAAGTCTAACATGAGTCAGATGGATGGACAATCTGTATAAACAGGTCACTTATAAGGCAATAAGTTAATTAGTAATAGGTGCTGATATGTGAACTAATATATGATATACTTTAATTGGATGGGTATTGGCGAAGTTTTTTATATTCTTAAAGAAGTATATTCTAGTGAAGCGAATTCGCTATTGTAAACTACAAATTGATATCAAAAGAAAAAATTCTGGAATGAGCAGGATAGAAATGCTAGAATGGAAATAGTGATTAAATTAAACATTCCCCTCCTTAACCTTAATCGGTAATCATTATAATTTTAGTTTTGTTTTCGCAAGTGTGATAAGACCTATAATGTTAATATGTGAATAAGTCTGATATTGTTTGCGCGTAACAAGTTGATAACAACAAACTCGTAGCAACTTGTTAAGAACAGCCTGTATTTAGTCTTGTTGGAAAAACTTGTAGCAAGTCTTTACCGTCATCAACCATGTACTGATAACAACTTCTTCCATACTTGTCACAACTTGTTACAGTACAACGTGATGTTTTTTATGTTACCCTGAGTGTGCATCCACACTGAGCTACGTGGTCAAGACGGTTCGAGCCGACTTGACCACGAACCGACTTGACCACGTAGCTCAGGTGGCAGAGCATTGGACTAGTATCCCAAAGGTTGCGGGTTCGATTCCCACCGTGGCCAAACTAACTTTTCAGCTTTCCCGGTGTGGATGCACACTCAGAGTAACATCACAAACATCATATTCACCTGAGTACATAACACCAACACACACAAAATAAACAATAGAACTTGTTTGCAGATATGTAACTTCATGTGTATTTTTACGTATGTAGTCGTTAAATTTCAGGACGCTTGCCAGAAGACCCATAGATGCATTATTCGCAGCTGCTCCTGGTGTAAAATTTACATTCGAAATTTCCATATATACAAAAACATTTCTATCGAATGAGATGCCCAGAGTTCTGATATTATTTTTTTATTACTTTGCCCGTCTGTAGAATGAGCCACTGTGCAAAATCATGCAGCAGTATGCAGACTTCCGTCAACTACCTTTAGCCAAACTCAAGTTTTCATTCGATGGCGAGGTTATGACGTCAGAACAATCCCCGGATGATCTCGATATGGATGACGAGAATGTTGTAGATGTACAGATAAAATAATGGATTACTGCGCCTAAGATTAATTGTTTAGAGAAAAATTTGCCAGAATTTTATATGACTAGGAACAATGTTTCCTGGTTTGCCCACCTTTGGGAAACACGACTAGGGAACATTTTTTCCTGGTTTGCCCACCTTTGGGAAACATGGCTAGGAAACAATGTTTCCTGGTTTGGCAACCTTTGGGAAACACAACTAGGAAACAATGTTTCCTGGTTTGCCCACCTTTGGGGAACATGGCTAGGGAACAATATTTCAGATTTTTTTCCCACAGTTTGACCTTGGTATTACGTTCCTACAATCACGTCTTGTTGACATGATTGACACAAAACATAGGGGCTTCTTTCTGTAGTTGTAACCAATTGTATAATACGATGACGTCTCGATTGTATAATGAGCAAATCTGCTGTTTTGTGAAATTTGTAGATATGGATGTGGAATTTTGTCTACAGTTACAAAATTGTATGACAGTTTAATATTGTAGTATTGGCTGTTTAATGCCAGCGCAAAGTTAATTATTCATAGTACAAATAAAAATAGGTACACAAGCGAACATGTGTGCGCAAGATGTTTATTGGATTTTTCGTAATTATAGTAGTTTTTGTTTGGCGGTATTGCATATTCAATGCCAATGGCTAAAACTTTGTTTGATCGATTCATAGCCTATTGAAGGGAAGATGGCTGTGAAACTCATTAGAATAACAATATAACTCATTATCTATGTTTATCAACGTTTATTCATAAATACGGTCCTTCACCGTCACGTGCGGATTGTATTTTTGCCCAACCAACCAACAGCAATGTTTTTGGAAGGTTACCTATCCATGACTCGAACAATAGGGAAATTGTTAATGGTGGATTTGGCAAAATACAATACACACGTGACGGTGAAGGGCCAGATTTATGAATAAACGTTGACTAACGTAGATAATGAGTTATATTGTTATTCTAATGCATTTCACAGCCATTTCCCTTTGATAGGCTATGTTCGATTAACGACATAATCAGAACTTTAATTATTTTTTCTTGGCTATGTCCGAAAGCAAAGTCACGAAAGTGGAATTGACACACAATACCGGGCAAATATCGGGTGTTTACTTTCCGGTTCTTTTTGAAATATAAAATTAAGAACCAAAAGAAAAAAGACCGCATATTTGCCTTTAAAAACCGAAAGAAACAGACCATATTTGCCTTATCGTCAATGTTACATCCGGTCTATGACTTTTACCGGAAGTGATTTACCGGAAATAGAGGCACATGTGTTCTTGAATGCGCAAGCGCCTTTTTAACTTCAAAAGTTGTGTTTTGTGTGAGGAGAAAGTCGTATTAAAAATATTTTTTGTCTTTTGTACGGGTCGGAAAAGGTCTGTATTCTTCCTACTGCTTTCTCGTATAAATGAGCTCAACTCAACAAGCTGATTTGCTCTTAAAGAAGCAGTTAAGAGGTATTTTTCATGCTTTTTACGTTGCGTGCTTTTGTGTGAAATTTTATATGTTATGTGACAGCGTAGTTGGCTCTCGTTCCTAAATTTTTCTCGTTTTGTTTGTAGAATTGAATAGAAAGGGCACAGAAGGCTTCTCTGCTGGCCTTATAGACGATGAAGATCTGTTTAAATGGGAGGTGACGATATTCGGCCCGCCAGATACGTTTTAGTAAGGCTAAACGCTTTTACACTTGATAATAATTTTGATAAACAAATTGAATGTTGCTTTAACAATTCATTTATTAGTGCCTTGTGTTTCAACAACAATGGAATAAGATATAAAGTCTGCCCCCTTTATCTTCTAATTTTTGGCTAGCCTTTGAAAGGTCAGGTATTTTTTAGGCTTTTCACTTCAATTAATAAAAGGTTGAAAAATTATTGATTTTTTGTAGTTTCCTAACAAAGCAATGGGAGGTCACACACAACAAACTGGCGTTTTTATCTGAACGCACTCAGCCTTGAAAACGTCAAGTGTGGCATAAATGTGGCAAGATTGTTTCTAAATATTCAATTTGTCACAGTGAAATTTGTGAAAACTTCACAGAATATTATACTCACCCACAACATCAATTTGACGTTTGCCCCATTCCCCCCCCCCTCGCATTGGATGTGACTCCACACGGCTTTTAAATCAAACTAAAAATACCATGTTTGTAATTGACCCTATTTTTCTTTCAATAGCCGTTTCAATTAGGATTGAGAGTAAATTAATTTAATGAATTTGTTAATTACAATCAAATGAAATGAATCTGAGATGCATTTATATGTTAGAGTTCACATCCATGTTAAGTTGCCATGCAAAATGTCAATGTTTTATGTGGGCAGATGGGTTAAAACTATTTTTTTATGAATTTTTCCATGACCATATTTTTGCCATATATATGGTATGCCACGTCGCTTGACGTTTTCAAGGCTGGGTGGGTTTCAGGCCTTAAAATATCGGTCGGTCACGGACATTGTCCGACCCATTCGTGAAATTGTCCGACGTAGAGAGGAAACCACCGGACATTCTGTCCGACCCCAGTGAAACTGAGGTTTATTGTTTGTCCGACCCGAGTGTATTGGTGTCCGACCGAACTGTAGCTTTGTCCGACGTAAATCAAAATGTACCCTAGTCCAGGACTAGAGGCTTGTATGTTAAATGGAAAATCAGAGTACTATTGTATAAAAGGTGAACTGGAAATGTTGTTTTAAAGTAGTCGAGCGCGTGGCGGCGAGCGAAATGGTGAAGTGGAAAACGGGCTTAAGTTGTCGAAGTCTTTTTTAATACTGCTGTTCTGGCAAGCAAGTTAATTTTGGCTTGGAAATAAGTATGAAAGAAACAAATTATTTAATATCTTTACAACATTTACCGTTTATTCATTTGTGTCATTCAGACTTATTTCAGAGTCACAACTGAACTGAAGGTCATCGGACATATGTCCGACCCAAACTCAACGTCACCGGACATTTTGTCAGACGGCCCTGGAAAAGATATTTTAAGGCCTGGGTTTAGGTAAAAATATCAGTTTCACATTCTGAATATCAATGTATCCCCTTAACACATCGAGGGGCATTATTGTGTTGGCAATGTGTTGGGACCGCTGAGCATTTTTCTGATTTGGGGGGGGGGGGTAGAAAAACACCAAATGTTTTCCTTTTTACCATGGTAATACAGCCAACACGGCCATGTAGCTAAAACCTTGATCTTCATCACCCTGGTCAATACCTTTGGTGAACTGACCACCCTGTCGTAGTCACAAGCAGGATTTAGTGACTTTAGTACTAAGTTTGTTGTTAACAACATTCAGATAGTTGTTTTCTGGTATAATGTTGAAATATTTGTCTTTTCTTGTGTAGTGAGGGTGGATTCTTCAGAGCTGAACTTCATTTTCCTAAGGAGTATCCCCAAAAACCTCCAAAAATGAAGTTCACATCAGATATTTGGCATCCAAATGGTAAGAGATTGATGATTTGTTAGCTTATTACTGACTGATTGAATATTTCATCAACTAATTGATCAAACGGTTCCTGGAACCTAGACATTGTTGCCATATTTCTAAGTAATCCTTATATTAAAATTGAAAAGCATAGTTGGAAAATACAAACATTAATAGACTTAAACATTTAGTAGACCTAAAAGACACTATTAGAGTCATAATCCTGCTCAGCTGAACTTTGTGGCCATAATTTCTTAACAATTTATAATACCGTACAATTTTTCACACAGTTCATAAAAACGGAGACGTGTGCATTTCAATTCTACACGAGCCTGGCGAGGATAAATTTGGATATGAAACAGCATCGGAGAGATGGCTACCAATTCATACGGTTGAATCAATTCTAATTAGTGTTATATCAATGATAACAGATCCAAATGATGAGTCACCTGCTAATGTTGATGCCGCTGTAAGTACTGAGAGCATTTAAAATTTTGAGGGAAAAGTGTAGTTGGTATTATTACTGCAGCAGTAATTAACAGTCAGGCATATGATATGAAAGTTCAGTTTAGGGTAGGATATGGTTTTGAAAGGGTATAATACAGGGTATAGGAACAACACATTCCCCTGAGGAAAAGATCTTCCATTGTGGGAATTATGCAGCATATTAATTTAAGCCTCACTTTTACATTAGAATTCCAATTCCATTGGGCATTCCAATTGTTGAAATTGCAAACTTGTGTGCTGAAATTGTTCATTTGAATTCACTGGAAATTTGTGTGCTACTATGTATCCCCCAAAATTCAAGTTTATGCTGAAAATTAAACAATGTTAAAAATATCACCTATAAAGTTATAAGAATAACTATGTATGTTCAATGTTGAAAATACAAAAATTATACAGTGTTGAAAACACTCTAGTGGGAAAATGCAAATGAGTTTAAATATCAAAAATACTAAAATTGTATGTGGAAAGCACTATAAAATATTTTACAGAATACGATGTATATGTACAATGTGAATATGTCTATTTAACAAATTTATTAGCACTCATAATGATTACATTAAGATATGAATTATATTATAAATGAAATACTAAAAGGTGCAAAAAGAAAAGATGTGAATGAGTAATTTGGTACATCACCACTCCATTATTTAATACTATGTTATTATACACTATATAAAATATCACAATGCTATAGTTATGATTAACAAAAGCAGAACAGTCCAACATAAGATAGAAAGAAGAATTAGAGAAAAGCATATTGCTCAATGAGAATGGCATGATTATATTTGATTTGGTATGGTGAAGTAATGGTGTGATGTGGCATGCTAATGTGTGTAATATGCTATGGTATTTTGTAATTTGGTGTGGTATGATATGTGGTACTGTGTGGTATGATTTGGTGGTGTGTTATGATATGGTGTGACAGCACAGATGGTGTAATATGATGTGGTGTGGTATCAAGCATGATATGTTGTGTTATGGTATGGTATGTTTGGCATGATATCATCTGATTTGTTGTGGTATGTCATGGTATGGTATAATACAATGTGATATGCTATATGGCATGATATATTATGATGTGGTATGGCATACTAGTGTAGTATTACTGTATGTGGTATGGTATGGCATGGTATATTGTGATGTGGTAAGGTGTGGTATGGTTTGTTTTGGGATAGATTGGTGTAGTATAATTGTATGGCAAGATGTGGTGTGGTATGGTATACGATGTGGTATGGCATGGCAAAGAGTGGTTTAGTTTTGGAGTGGTATGACATGTTATGTTTTGGTACGGTAATGGTATGATATGGTGAAGTGTGGTATGGTGTACATTGAAATGAAACTTGTTAGAATATGTTTTGCAAAGGCTGTGCAAAAATAAAGCACTTAATATTTAATAAGCGATCCCATTTATTGGAAATTTTTAAAATCTCGCGTATTTTTGTTATAGATATATAGTATAATATGTTTAGTTAAACACTGTATGTCAAATATCAATGCTGTATACTATACGAAATTTTTGTTAACAGAAAGAATGGCGGGACGACTATAATGGCGTTTTTAAGAAACACGTTCAACGTTGTGTGCGACTCAGTCAAGAAAACTTGTAGAAATTATAATTATCAATAGCCTCACCTAATCCAATGTAGGTAACAAATGAGCTATGCATTGCAAATTAATAGAAACATAAAAAATAATGCATGTACATTTCGCCATTCCATATTAGTACTGTTGCACGGAATTAATTATTAGCATAGAGGCATACAGCGTAGCGAGACGTTTCATTTGATATCCGAGCCACAGAATAGGAAGTTATACCAGAAGCGTAACTCTAGTCGTTTCCCTTATTGTTTGACGTCCACGAAAATTTTAACTCGCTCACGTCAGGCCACGCCATCCTGGCTAGTACAGCCGGAAGTTTTTATCAGGATTTGGTAGGTACAAAGTGCCGGTTGTACTAGCCAGGATGGCTTGATTGATGGCGTGATTGATGACGAATCGCTTGTAAAAACGCGGACAAATATTTGCTCGAGTTACGCTTCTGGTATAACTTCCTATTCTGTGTCTGAGCTTCCTGCGACAACAGCCAAGACTGGCAAATCATAACTTTAGCCCCGTTTACACTACGCTCAAATTTTGGTACGGCACGGATAAAATTGGTTCCCGTACCAAATTTATCCGTGTTCGGCCTTTGTAAAATAGATGGTCCAAGCACGGATAAAAATGGTACGAGCACCAGAATTCGTGATTCCCCTTATTACGTTTTCGTGGCGCTTTGCATTGTGGTTATAGTGGTATCACTGATATTCAAGATGGCTTATTTTTTGTCCTGACCCGTGCAAGAACTTTTAAAAAAAGCTAGGGCCAGGTGCGCGATAGCCAACAGCAAAATATTCGCGAAAACATTCAATATTTTCATTCGAGGCCGCTAACTTTATCAGTGATATCAGTATAACCACAATGCAAAGCGCTACGAAAACGTAATAAAGGCAATCGCAAATTGAGCGTATTGTAAATGGCCTTTTGTAAATTTTATAAGGCCCGGTTTAGACGCCGTGCTTATCATGAGCCGAACTTAATGTTAATTAACTAAGTTCTTTGTTTAAGCTAATTTGCATTAAGTTCGGCTCATGAAAAGCACGGCGTCTAAACCGGGCCTAAGTCCCTTTGCTTATAATTCCCGGTTGAGACCATAGCTTAATATCGAAGGGAAGATGGCTGTGAAACTCATTAGAATAACAATATAACTCATTATCTATGTTAGTCGACGTTTATTCATAAATATGGTCCTTCACCGTCACGTGCGTAATTGTATTTTTGCCAAATCCACCAATAACTTTCCGAAAAAAATGTCTGTTGGGCAAAAATAATACACACGTGACGGTGAAGGACCAATGAGTTATATTGTTATTCTAATGAGTTTCACAGCCCTTCAATAGGCGCTGTTGACTAGGAACATGGCGAGTGCATTTTAATGACGAATCATGGCGTGGCCAAAAGATTAGATACTATAAAGATGTGCCACTCTGCGAAAATTATGTCCGAGATTTTTTTATAACCGCCATTTTGCCAGTAAGTGTCAAATCCAACGCCATCAGTCTCTAAATAGTAAAATCCAACGCCATCAGTCTCGCCGCCATTTTGGCAGTAAGTGAAAATTACGGACACGCAAACATTAGGGAAATACGTCGAGTGGCACATCTTTATAGTATCTAATCTTTGGCGTGGCAGCGGTTACGCTTTTTTGGCTAAGTCGAAAAGAAAGGCTGTAAAAATCGAAGTTTCTGGTAAATCATCCTAGGTTTTGAAGGATTTGTAAGAAATATTTGAGGGAACTAATACTAAGTTAGTTTACTCAAACATTTCTTACAAATCCTTCAAACTTAGAATTTACCCATGCAAAATTCCTACTGTGATCCCAGAAACCTTGATAGTGTAAACCATCCTTTATAACACTCAGTAAGTTCCCTCAAACATTTCTTACAAATCCTTCAAAACTTAGAATTTATCTATGCAAAATTCCTACTGTCATCACAGAAACTTTGATAGTGTAAACCATCCTTTATAACACTCAGTAAGTTCTCTCAAACATTTCTTACAAATCCTTCAAAACTTAGAATTTACCTATGCAAAATTCCTACTGTGATCACAGAAACCTTGATAGTGTAAACCATCCTTTATAACACTGAGTAAGTTCCCTCAAACATTTCTTATAAATCCTTCAAAACTTAGAATTTACCTATGCAAAATTCCTACTGTGATCACAGAAACTTTGATAGTGTAAACTAACCTCAAGGTTTCAATTCTGTGTTTGGGGTTGATTCTTTCACGTTTTAACGATATCGAAAACAAGCCCTTTAGCACAGAATACTAAACAGTAGGCCATCTCCGTTGTTTTTTGCGTGAGCGCTATTCGTCATGATTCCGTCACTCAGCAAGTACCCTAAACTGAAGTAGTCACCCCCCTGGAAATATCCAAAATGGCGCTGTATGGGAGAAAGCCATGGATATTTCCAGGGGGGTGACTGCTTCTGTTTAGGGTACTTGCTGAGTGACGAATCATGACGAATAGAGCTTACGCAAAAAACAATGGAGATGATCTTCTGTGTAGTATTGTGCCTTTAGGGAATAGTAGGAATCGGAAATCGGGTATTTAATGGAACGTCGAATAGTAGAACTCAAGCTACACAATCTATTTTTACCAGATTTTGAAACTTCATTTGTCATAATGCATGCAGACTCAATATATACAATCTTTGTACAGTTCATATTTCTAATAAAATGTTTGTTATGTCTTGTATGTTGTTGACGTGTTATTGTTGTGTTAATTCTATTGATATTTATCACATAGTTTAGCACTAAAGGTATAAGGCACCTTAATAGGTGCATTAGGGCGTATTGCGGCTTAACGAGTTAACAAGAGACGTGGTCGAATAGCCTTAACCCTTCGGCGTGAGTAGCTTCTCGCTCAGCACCCAAAAGGCAAAGCACTTTATAGCAAAAAATCTCTTCCAACTAAGAAAAATTAACGCTGTAAAAGCTGAACTTTTAATATTGTACTGAAACTTTAATTATGACTTTAAATCTGGGTCTCGTAAAATCAGATTGACAGACACACGTGCGCGGACGAAGACACAACCTCCTAGCGGAAGTAATTACTGAGTGAAGTAAATCTACTCCACTCTACGAGTAAATTTGCTCCACAAATTTCAGTAACTTTATGCAATAGTTTGGGTCGTTGTGAGTGTGCAGTATTTTACTCAAGTTTCCGAGTGATGATGTAAAAAAATTTGGCCTGTCATTAATGACCATTTGATTGATCGGCTACCATAAACCTCCAATTATAAACCCCTCCCCGAATATAAGCCCCCCCCCCGTGTATAAGTACTAACACTCACCTTATTCCAAA